AATCTACGGTACAGTGTGCATATGGAGGAGCCAGTGCTGCTGAAACGAAGAGGCGCTCAGGCACATACTCAATGCCTGTCAGGGACCTGCCAAAGGAATGCAGAGATGAAGCATGGCAGATTTTTGCTGAGTCATAGCGCCCCAAGGTGGTCGTTAGCCAACGGCTAGTCCATGGTCTCCAGGGCTGCCACAGTTCCGTATGGCCTGCGCGCAAGGAGTTGTAGTCTGATCGGGCAGGCGGAGGCGGGAGATGCACAGGTCGCCTGTCGGGATACGCATAGGGGTTGCCAGTGGCTGAAAACGTGGAGGTCGAGAGCCAGCGGGCAGACATGGTCATGCTATCCAAGCGAGCTTGCAGTTGAAGCTGGCTCTTAGCCAGCGACTGAAGGTGGATCCTGACATGCGTAATAGCAGCAAGGCAACACGCCGGAGTGGCAGGCAGGCCTGAGGGGTGCTGGCTGCACAGAGGTGCCCTGGTTGGGCAGAGACCCGTGTGGCTCACCCGACCCCNNGACCCCGTATATCCTGACACAGACCTGACGTTGAGAGAAGCAGGAACCAGCTGAGGTGCCGCGCGAAGCGAAGCCGCACTGAGTGCCCGACCGTTGCACTGCGGACGGACCTGTCGAGCCTGTCGTGGCGAATCCCCTGGTTGGGGGGCAGGGCCNNCTGAGGTCCTGTCACGGAGCCTGTGGTCAGGATCTTGTTCGCCTTGCTGGTGCTTGTAAAGGGGTCGTTGAAAGTGTGCAGAGCCATGGCGCGAGGCAAGGCACCAAGCCCTTCAAGAACGGAGCCACAACAGGAGGCCCGAACACCGAGAACCGACCAGAGCCCCGACAGACCAGGGAAGAGAACCGAAAACACACACACCAACCCAGAACAGGGGCACCCTGCTGCTGAGCCTTACGTACATACATACATACATACATACATACATACATACATACCTGCATACGTACATACCTACATACATTTACACCCAAACAAAGCAAATCTTCCGCCGTCCGCAAAGCTCTCCCGTATGTTGGAACCAAGAATTGTGAGTTTCTCCGACTTTGAAGTCAGTGTTAAGCAGAAATGCTCAGCGTAACTCATACTCATAAGCCAGGGCTCGGAACCGTTTTGGGTTTAGGGTTGCGCCTTGCGCCCGAGGCCTTCGCCATGGGTGGTTTGGGTTTGTTTGCATACACTGGGACAGCTAAAGGTAACTTTGTGTGCGCTCCTCTGTTATCTTTACCAAGGCAAATGCATCCGTGCAAAGCCCTGTCCGACTGTCAGATGTCTTATCACCTCGTAAGACCTATGTGTAGATCGAAAGGGTTGACACCACCTTGCAAGTCCTGCAGCATTCTGACATCTAACAGAATCAAAAACAGCGCAAGCAAACCCAAACTCGCCTTTGCCTTCCCAGCAAGACTTTGCGAAAGGCTTCGCCCCCATTCCGAAGTCCATCAACCCGAAGCGAATTCTGTTGCCTGGCCACCTATGTTCCGATGAGGTGTTTCAAACTTCCGAAGCTCGAAACTGGATTATGAGAGGGGGTTATTGGCGAACCGAGCCACGGCTCTCTGGCTGTCTGCAAGGAGCCCTGTGGACCACCAGCAGCATAGAGATTTTGACTGATGGCCAGTGTTTTTCTTTAGGGCTCCTTATGGTAGTTATCCTTTAAAGAAGCCCGAAGCTCTGTTCTAACTATGGAGGATCCTACAGTAAGCCCGCAGAATCCTCGCAAGCATGTGTTTCTAAGTGGGCACTGTTCTTAAAGTTTTGGGCTTCTTGTGAACTCATCTTGAACACAGACGAGAAGGCCCATATTATACGTGTTCCCAAGCTCGAGGCTTTAAATCGAAACTCTGAAGCCCGTACGTCTTGAGCCTCTACCCCTAAACCCTAAACCCTAAACCCTAAACCCTAAACCTTAACTCTCTCAGGCTAAACATGGCAGACGGCTTTGATTTGAACCCGCGGCAGATGGACGCTCGGCGTGCTGTTGATCAGGCTCCAGGATCGTTTCGAGCAGTGAAACCCTAAACTCCTAAACCCTAATCCCCAAACCCTAAACCCTAATCCCTGAACCCTAAACATCAATAAACCCTAAACCCTAAACCCTCATCCCCAGACCCTAAACCCTAATCCCTAAACCCTAAACATTCCTAAACCCTAATCCCTAAACCCTAAACCCTAGTCCCCAAAACCCAAACCTTAAACCCTAAATCCTTAGAAAAGCCCATATCCCTGAACCCCAGACCTGAAGCTGTGGTTCAGGGCTTTTGGCTTCAGGGTGTTAGGGGCCATGGTAAACCCGGTTTGGGGTTTTGGGGTCTAGGAAGGGTTTAGGGTTTGGGGGCTAGGGTTTCGGGTTTAGGGATTAGGGTTTAAAGTTTAGGGATTAGGGTTTAGGGATTAGGAATTAGGGTTTAGAGCATAGGGTTTAGGGGAGGCTCACAAGCTCCTGAGCCCTATACCGCTGGAGCCGCAACTTGGCACAAGCTGACCCTGGGGCCCGAGCCGAATTTCCAAATCCTGAGTGTGAGAAGCCCTAAACGCTACTTACATCTGCTTAGCAGAATGTCAATGAGCTTATTATATGGCTATAAGTAGGGGTAGCCCGGGTTATCATTAGTTCTACTCATAACTTAGAGCCCCAATTGTGGTATGTAAAACCAGTCCCCTGATCCTTTCTGCAGACTGGAGATCCGAAGCCTTAAGAACCTAAACACTCAAGGCGCCAAGCCCCAAACCCTACAGATCCCTAAGCCCTAAACAACAACCCCCCCCACCCCATCTCGCCCAGAGGCCCGGAACCCTAAACCCTAAACCCTAAACCCTAACCCGAGGCCCGGATCGCCCAGCTGGATTCCGGCTTTATGTCCTGTACCATGGCCTCGCCTTGTCACGAGCTGGCTTGGGACCTGGTCTCCGACGCTTTGGCAAAGCTTTCACGGCAATATGCCCGTGACGTATGTATGTATGTATGTATGTATGTATGTATGTATGTACGTATGTATGTATGTATGTTTGTATGTTTGTATGTATTTATGTATGTATGTATGTATGTATGTATGTATGTATGTATGTATGAATTTATATATATATATAGACTACACAAACTGTTACAAAAGGAACATGTGTGTATGTGCATTATATATACATTTATGTATATATATATATAGATACACATGATATGTGTATATATGTATGTCTATACAGAAATATGTGTGTGTGTGTATGGCTTAAGCACCTGGTCTCTAAGGTTGGTGGTTTTTTAGTATAACAGGTACTGAAGGGATGTGAAGGGACGGTTTGCGAGCTCCTTCCTGAGGGTCAATATTGAGCAGCCTGGATGCGGCTTGCGGTTTTGGATTTCGGATTTCTCTGAGCTCATGTAGAGCTTCAATGTGGGTTTCGGTGCAGGCCCCAAATTGGACGTAGGACTAATGCAGAGATCCAAGCACAACCGGACCCGCATTTTCAGAGAATCCCCATCTGGATCTCAGTCGGTTCTGAACTTGGGGTTCACTCTCAGGCTCTTGATATAGAGGCCTACATGATTCCCAATACTATTTTGTTTTTTGGGGTGGGGTTCCTCATTATTTGTAGTCTAATATACCCCAAAACCCTATTCCAATTATCAAGGTCCCTATACCCTCAACCCTTATAGTAGCCCTTCAAGGAACCCTCTACTGTAAAGGAACCCCCAAAACCCTCTTCCTACTCATTAAGGCCCCTACATTCGGTTTTCGCCGCTTCCTCAGCCCTAAACCCTAAACCCTGAACCCTAAACCCTAAACCCTGAAACCCTGAAACCCTAAACCCTAAACCCTAAATTCGGTGTTCGCCGCGTCCTCAGCCCGAAGGGTGGCTTCCCAGGCCCGAAGAGCCCAGCCCGCGCAAAGCCGCACCCCTCGGAGACGTAGTATGTATATGTGTATGTATATATGTATATATATACACATGATATATATATATATATAACAACAATGATAATCATGGTGTTTGGTACTAATACTCACAGTATATATATAGATAACAACAATGACAATCTTTGTGTTTTGTAGAAAGAATAACAGTATATTTATAGAAAATGTATATAACGACAGTGATTGTCATAGTTTCTAGTATTAGTAATAGCATCTATAGTTTATTATTGATAGTACTATGCTACAACTTCAGCAACTGAACCCTAAACCCTAAACCAGACCAGCCCAGGACGGCATCCCGCATCCGGATACCTGGGGCGGCAACCGCAAAGGGAAGGGTAAGGGGCCTCTCGGACAAGTTTAGGGCTTTAGGGTTTAATCAGGGTTTTAGGGTTTAATTTAGCGTTTTAGGGTTTAGGGTTTAGGGTTTTAGACTTTAGGGTCTAGGGTTTTAGGGTTTAGGGTTTTAGGGTTTAGGGTTTTAGGGTTTAGGGTTTTAGGGTTTAGGGTTTTAGAGGGTTTAGGGTTTTGGTGGTTTTAGGGTTTTGGGCTCTAGACTGTTTCATTGATGCCGAGGGTTGAGGTCGCTTTTGTCGTGGTAGGACATTTTTTTGAAAATAACGAAGACTTAGGGGCTGAGAAGTTAACCTTTAACCTTTTGGGGCTTATATAATCCTACTATAACTCAAAAGGTTAACCTTTTTTGGGCTAAGGTACTCAGCCCCTGAGAAGAAGGGCAAGCGTTGTTGAAGCCAACTGGCAGATATGTAATGTAGGGGCCTAAGTAAATCCCTATACTATTTTGGGGGTTCCTTAGCGTATAATGGGCCCCCAAAGCCCCATTGTAATTGTTAAGGCCCCTGTATTAATGTCAGGACACCAGTAGAACCGTACAGGTTTATGGGTTCGTTCTCAACATGAACCCCTGAACCTGCGTGCCTACAAACCTAAGTCCTTATAGCTTTCGACCCGAAGCCCTTGTTCGGGGCACCTGCCTTTTTAAGATCTGAGCAGCCAAGGCGGCAGCTTAGCCTTTCCTAAACGCTGACACGAACACCCAAACCACCCCTGCGAGCCAAGGTAAGGCGGGACAGAGAAGCTCGCTTCATCAGAAACTTCATGAGCCCTTCTTTGCGCAGACCCTAGACCCTAAACCCTAAACCCTAAACCCCTAAATCCTAAACCCTAAACCCTAGACCCTAAACCCTAAACCGAAGAGACTGATCATTTCAAAGAGCGAGCGCTTGAACTCGGCTGACGTCTCAGAGCAATAGAGAGCCCCGAGCTCCGCCCGACCCAAAGCCCACACTCTACACTCTAAACCCCTCACCCAAAGAATAGAGGGGCCTTCATAATTACCGATACTATGTTGGGGCTCCTTATTACAACTACACTTTAACGGGCCCCAAAACCCAAAACCCTATTCTAATTATTAAGGCCCCTATACTAGTTTCTAAGCCGCCACCCCCTTCCCCCACCCTAAACTCTAAGCCCTAAACCCTAAACCCTAAGCCCTCCCTCAGCCCTAAACCCTAAACCCTAAACCCTAAACCCCAAGCCCTAAACCCAAACCCGAAGCCCTAAACCCTAAACCTCCCCTTTTGGAGACAAGGGTTGCTGCAGGAAGCAGACTGGCAGCTGGACCGACGACTACCAGACATGGTGACCTACAACATTTCCTTCGAAACTGATGTAATGTAGGGGCCTAAATCATGGGCTCTTAAAAGGGCCTATAAAGGTTACTATAAGGGCTGCTATAAGGGTTTAGGAATGTAGGGGGCCAAACTAATTACCAAAACTATTTTGGGGGGTTCCTTTAATTTAAGTATAGTATTATGGGCCCAAAAACCCTATTCTAATGATTAAGGCCCCTAGATTAATGACCCAGGTTACGTCTCTCTCTCTCTCTCCCTCCCTCCCTCTTTCTGTCTGTCTGCTTGTCTGGACGGATGGATGTTTAGCCGAAGCCCATGATGTTGGTTTGCACTGGGGTTCTAGCTCGATTCTAGTCTTCTTGTTTGCTTAGACTGAAGCGTCGGTATACTGTAATATTGGGCGCAAGATCTCGTGCAGAGGCTGAGAGAAATCTCAGTCGCATGCTCACCAGCAGCATGCAGTCTTCCCGCAATCGCGGCCATTTTCGGCTCTCATTGCCTTCGGGATCGTAGAAGTCAGACGAAGGATTTAAGGCCGAGCATCGGATTCCGGAATTCCGATCCTTGCTCAACTGTCTGGTGCTTAGTAGGGAATGGGGGAATGGGATATAGGGAGTACTATAAGGGACCTTAAAGGGACTATCATAGGGATCCATTCCCCCATTCCCTACTAAGCACCAGACAGTCAAAGGCCTGCATGACGACGACGGTTCCAAGATCAGGGCAGCAGCGTTCAAATGTGAGGTCTCTGTGTTTTGCGGTGCTCGAGAGGGCAGAGGGGGGACAAGGGTCACAAGAGCAATTTTGTGAATCGCTCAGCCCGAAACCTCTGCACTCTTCGGCCTAAATGGGAATATGAAGGCACTTTGTAAGCACTTTTTTCCCCGACAACCCTGAAGTCACCTAGCCGGAAGAAGTATCCTCGTTATTCGGGGGTCGTTCGGGGCGCGTGCCCCTCGTCTCGACCCACATCCAGCCTGCCCCCGAACCCCTGAACCTTCAATCCTAAACCCTAAACTTTAAACCTTACATCCCAATCCCCACTCTACTTGTCAGGGCCCTCAGGCCTCAGATCTCGGAAAAGAAGCCTGCCCTGAACACTTCAAGTGCTTCCATATCAAGTTTAGGGCTGACCCTGAGGGTCCAAAATCGACTGAGAGGTTGGGTTCAGGATATGACCGCAGTTACGGATGGGGAGTTGTACCATTATCATGTACTTGGACCCTTAGGCTTGCAGGTTTGGTGAGGAGTTTCATGGGTTTAGGGTGTAAAGTTGCAGTGGTTTGTCTTCGGTTGACACTTGGGATGGTCCGTTATCCGCGGTGTGTTTGTTTTTTGGGTTGTTTGGCCATTTTTGAGTTAGTGAGCCCCTTCCTACCAGAGGGCCCACGCTGCGACGACTAGACCGGACCGCAAGTGAGTTTCGGCTCGTTTAATTTACACAACTGTGTCCGATCTCCGCATCGCCATGGGACATGGCTACAAACATCGAGAAGCCAAAGGAGAGCTCATCCAATGGCTGCAGAGATCCCGCGACGAAGCGTTGTGGGCTCGCTTGACTTCACTGGCAGTCAAGGACTGGCCAGGTTTTGCTCAGCACCTTAAGAAAGCGTGGAGCGCAGCCGGCGGTGATCCTTACGACCTCCGTTTCCTTGACAACAAGCAGCACGCCGTGCATGTGTGGCAGACAGTGAACAAGCCTGCTCGGCAGCAGAAACGCGACCCGCGCAGTACAGGTGGACCTCCACCCAGTTTGGATGACCTCATGAATTGGCTTTGGTACTACGAGAATGACGAGCTCCTTGGCATGTATACATGCATCGCGACAATTGCGAAAACCCTGGCCAGTTGTATGATGTGTTCTGTGTATTGATTGCTGTATTGTTGCTCCTGAGTTGAACAGAAACAGGTGGGGTTTAGGCGTTGGACGTCCATGTGGCCCAGCGGTCTCGTTCCAGTGCCGACATCTCGTTGGGGGCACTTTTGGCATGTATGATCCCTAAACCCCAAGCCCTAAACCCTAAGCCCTCCAAAAAAAACCTTATACGGATAAAAAATGACCTAAGGTTCTGGGAAAAGCTCCACACCAGGGACTGGAAGCACTTTGCTGCCATCCTGCGAGCAGAATGGGCTAAGGCTGGAACGGGCAATAGGTACCACTTTCCCAGTTTGCGTCATCCATCAAACTGCCGCATGATCTATGATGTGATGTTTGGGAAGGAGGCCTAACTGAGTCCAGCGCAAGTTTCACCAAAAGGTCCCCACGGGCCTTTTGCAAGGCTCTTTGGCAAAAAGGAGAGACGCATCGGGCAAGTTTACATAAGGTCTGGGGTGAGGAGACGAGCTGCATCATTTGCTCCAGTAGTACATTCTCAGAAGTTTTACAAGATGTACCTACCTACTTCATCCGTTTTCGGCTGGGCAGCCCTAAGCCAAGTCCAGCGGCAGAACATGGCATCAGGTTCTCGACTGTCCAGGTTTGCGATTCCCTCAGTTTCGGGTCGGTCACGTAGTCAAAGTTCCAGGACACAGGATTGGAGAATTTTGGGCCAGCGTTTTAATCTTTAGGGCTTTGGGTTTATGATTCGGTGGCTGAGGCATGGCCGCACCTTTCAATGCGGCGAAGCTGTCAGGGACCTGGGCTTCCCTGCAGTTTACATCACTTGAAGTTGCAGTAACTTAACACATGTAGGCCCAGGGCAACGGTTTAGGGTTTAGGGTTTAGGGTTTAGGGTTTAGGGTTTAGGGTTTTGGGATGAGGTGCAGACCGGCAGGGTTCCGAAAGACGACGTTTCAGGAATTATTCGATAGCCGCCGGGTCTGGTGCGAGGCTTGCTCCGGGTGCTCACGTGAACTGAGGTTTCCATGGTTAAGACCTTAAGAACCCAAAACCTACGTTTTTGTAGGGTCCCTCTAAATCCCATATTAGGGTTTATAATCAGAAGCTACAAAAAAGTGGGTTTGGGGTTCTTAAGGGAAGCCCTAAACCCCGAACCCTGATCCCCATTTAGTTCCTCCTAGCGGACTGAACAGCCACAGTGACTTTAGTGTCTAGGATGTAAGCCGAAAGGTAAAATTAAGCTTCCTGTTGCTTCCCCGTTTAGGATCTAGGGCTCAGGTTACGAGTATGGGGTTTAGGGTTTGGTTTAAGTTTTAGGGAACACCAAAGCCACGGAAAACTGCTAAACGACTTGATTTAGAGGTTTGACGCCCAGATCAGAATGCAAAGATGTGTACTCTTTAGAATGTGCATAGCAACCACGGTACGAATGTATGGGAGTTGGCATGTATGTGTACACAAATGTGGGTAGATGGGTATTTGGTCGAGATGCAAATACTACTGTATTTTGTCTTCATTTAGCGCCTGCATGCTCGTGGAGCCAGACACCGAAAGCCACCACGACCAAGTCAGCACAAGAAACGGCGCACGCGCAGCCATCCAAGAGACAAATCTACGAGCCGCTTTCGGATTTTGGTTACAGCCGGTGCGGATCGGCGGATCTTGCAGCGTGGGTTCGCGGGACGGGGGTTCTCAGCACCCCCCCAAGCATAACCCAAAATTGCGTCCTTGAGCGTTGAACCATTATAAGGTATCAGCAGAAGGATGCTGAACACTCCATCGTTGTCTTGGAGTGGATGAAGGCGCAATTTGCTTCTTGGAAAGACTGTCTTCGGTCACGGGATGCTGTAATATCGGGGCCTCAATATTTACCTTTCTTATTCTGGGGGTCCCGTATTGTAAGTACCACAATGTACCCCTGAAGCCTTATGCTAATTATTAAGGCTCCTACATTACACGGCTTTAATGAAACATAGAGGATCTGTAGTAGCAACTAGGGGTACATAGCATGGCCTTATACATGCGTAGTTTAGGGGGTTCAGTCAAGGCTGAGGCGGCGAATTTTGTAATTTGTAAAGCATTCCTCACTATAAGGATAGGTTTAAAGCGTCCAGAACTTTACCATGTAGGAACACCTGTAAGGCTTCAGGATGCACTAGAGAGATACATGGATGCTCCGAGTGACCTCTTACGGTTCTTCGGATACAGGTACTTAAAGGATCACGGGACTTATTAAGTAGGGTTATAATTAGGGTAACTATACTTATAACCCCAATTTAAGCGACTTATATCCTTACTTACTAAGTCCCATGATCCTCCAGGTATGAGCCCTAAACCGGACTCCGGCGGCTCTTCATGCCGAACATGCCAGATAGGCCACAGGGGTATGTTGCATTTCTTATACCTGGCCCCCCAAAGCATGTAGAATAATAGCCTTTTTAGGTGTCTTGGGCCACTATTTTACTTACTTTTGGGGGGTGAAATAGGGTTTAGGGTATTTACGTATCTTGCCAGAGGACCGGTTAGAAGGAAGCCTGCAGCGCTATGCGGACAAAACCATCAACCCCAAGCGCTGCAGTACCCGGTTTGGGGTTTAGGGTTTAGGGCTCAGGGGTTCAGGGTTTAGTGTTTAAATGGTTTTGGTTAGTCCAGGTCGGATGCTTCGCAAAGCAAGAGATACGAGCGAATAGGGGATCCTAGACATTAGAGTTCGCATATACAACGGACCACTAAAGCCCACAACACATCTGAACCACTTGGACTGCAGGTCACTGGGTTCATGTTTCGCACTTCTTACGACTAGGAGTTGCTTCTCTTGCTCTTTCGCGGCATTGTTTTTTTCGAAATGTGGCTGGGCCTGGGGTTTGCCATGTTGTGTTTACGGTCTTAGCCAAAGTCCGGCTCCCCAAATTGTGAAGCTTCAGCTGTGCTGCCCATGGCCTCCGCAGCTGTCTCCTCTCAGTGCCGATATGGGTGGGGGTCATTTGATACTGATACCTTCGGACTCGATGCTGGGGTTTTGGCGGACAAACCTGGGAAACAAATAGAAAAGCAAAGGCTCAAAATATCTTGTGGCAGCGAATCACATGCGCAGGCATCATAACCCATACCCCAGCACATCCACCCATGGCCACCTGAACTCCTTCAACCTCAATGACTCAATCCCCGACAATTCTCAAGAGTAGGAATCTTTTCGCTGGCCTCTGCGTGTGCACATGCCCGCACAACATGTGGGCGCTGCGGATCGCCTGTATTACAGGTGCCCTGTTTTACACCGCGCCGCTTGGGTGCAGAAGATAGTTGTCTGTACAGTACAGGGTACTTGGTTTAGGGTCCTCACAATCCGTGCGCATCCTGCTGTTTAGTGTTTTACATTGGAGAACCTCATCACCTGAAGCTTTCAATCGATGCGGAACTGCGGAACTCGGTTTAGGGTTAAAGCGCATGCTGAAGGTGATTCTTCTGCCCTTTGTTCGATTGCATTTTCCCATGTTTACATGCAAAGTTGAGGATTTAGGGAGAGTCGAAGTTAAAGAGGGCAGAGGGTTTAGGGTTGTGTGGGGTTTAAAGGGTTCCAGGTTGTGGGGTCTAGAATCTAGAGTGCGCAAAGCTAAGGGGTCTTATGGGGTGATATCTTCTCTCGCTGTTCACATGTTGCTGGCAGGTTGTGGTGAGGGTGATGGTGTTGCTGTCGTCCATGGCGATGATTCCGGGGGGGGGGGGGGGGGGGNNGATGGTGATGATAATGATGGTGATGATGATGCTGATGATGGTGGGGATGATGGTGATGATGGTCTTGCTCTTGGGATGCTCTCGCTGATGCACGCCCCCAAGATCGCGGTGGTGGAGCCCCAAACCCACAAGACTTGGACAACTCAGGCGATGTAACACGGCCCCCTTCGGGTCCCGGGCAGCCGATGACGGTACTCTGCTCTCGCTGCAGGACCCCGGAGATATGGACCCGAAAACTCATATTCTAGTATAGTTTAGTATGTGTATAGTATATGATAGTTTAGGGTTTAGGGTTTAGGGAATGATCGTATATGACCGTATACCATATGGTAGATGATTATGGGGTCCCCTAAACCCTAAACTAAACTCTAGGGTTTTGAAGTTTACGGCCTAGGAAGCCTCAGCTCTGGATCACCAGCAGCAATGGTTTGGGGTGAGTCATAATCCCTAAGCCCTACTTGGAGGACCATGGGACTTAGTAAGTAAGGTTATAAGTCCCCTATAATTGGGGCTATAAGTATAGTTACCCTAGCTATGACCCTACTTACTAAGTCCCATGATCCTTTAAGTAAAGCCCAAACCTTTAAAGGGCTGGGTTTTTTTAGGGCTCAGGGTTTGGGAGGTAAGGGCTTTCTCAGGGTTTAGGGTTTAGAGCTTTAGGGTTTGGGGTTTAGGGTTTGGGGCTTGACCTGGGTATTTTTGTTGGTTGTGATTTGGGTTTCATACAGGGGCCGAAATAGTTGCCAATACTATTTTGGGAGGTTCCTTGTTCTAATTATAGTATATTATACCCAAAACCCTAGTCTACTTACTAAGGCCCCTACATTAGCTCTTAGGGTTTCGGTTCAACAGCTGCAACTGTAGGCTTCAGGGACTGGCGACTGAGAGGTTTTCGGGACTGGGGTTTGTGGGGTTGAGATGACAAGAATCCGAATGTAGTGGATGAAACTGACATTCAGAATCATGTAATTAAATTTAGGGGCCTAAGTAATACTAACTTGGGGTTTCTTATTATAGCTATAGTATCATATTCATGCAATTTAGGGGCCTAAATAATACTAACTTGGGGCTGGGGTTTCTTATTATAGCTATAGTATCACATACCCCAAGAAGTTCCTATTCTCCTCCTCGGGGTTCATAAGCCAAGTTACTTGAGGAGGCTTGGGCCTCGGGCACGTTGCAAGGTTCCCAGCTTGCTAGGGGAGTATCGTGCACTTCATCATTCATGAAGTGCCAAACCCTAACCCCCAAGCCCTAAACGCTAAACTGTGGCACAAACCGTAAGCCCGAAACCCCCAAACCCCTAAACCTTAAACCCCTAAACCCCTAAACCCTAAACCCTAACCCCTAACCCCTAAACCCGTCGGAGAGAGACGAAGCCGGAAGGATCTGGAATCCATGATCGCAACCTTGGAAGAACGCCAGGGGCCTCGGTATTCAGGGGAACCCAAACCGAGGGTTGACGGTTTAGGGTTTTAGGCTTTTTAAGTTTATTGACACGGTTTGAGGGTTGAGGGTTTTGGGTTTTAGGGTTGAGGGTTTAGGGGGCTCGGTGCTTTAGAACACAAGCTCTAACCCTATCAGTCCTTGGCCCTAAACATACTTTGGCGTTTGTCGTCTATAGACGCATCGCGGGCTACAGTCGGGTTCATTCCAA